TGCGTACTGTAGGTTTCCTCCGGGTACTCCGGTTTCCCCTACCACTAAAAATATGTCCAATAGTTCTGGCATGTGCCCGCTCCCATCTCTGTGTGGAGTGAGAGACAAATGCCCAAAATTAACAATTGTAAACGGCTTTGAGACTCAGATCTGCAGTGAAAAGGCGGTATATAAATAAAAACTTACTTACTTACTTCAGTCTTCAGTCTCGACTCTGGTTTCTCCCTCTGGTCTCCTTCTGTTCTCCCTGGTCTCTCTCTGGTCTCTCTGGTCTCCTTCTGTTCTCCCTGGTCTCTCTCGAGTCTCTCTCTAGTCTCTCAGTCTCAGTCTGGTCTCTGAGTCTTGAATCTCGTCTCTCTGCTGATGCGTCTCATATTTATTCCCGGCTGCAGAGCGACCGGTTCGGGAGGTTGTCACATTTCTGACATCTGACTGAGTTGACGTCTGACTGAGTTCCTCAGAAAACACTTTGAAAGATTGTTCCGGGCTGGTTTTATGGTTTGGTTCTGGACCAACTCTGGTAGAAAGACACCAGGGGCTTAGAAAATAAAAGTACTTTACACCAGAGGTGTCCAAACCTTTTTGCAAGACGGCCACTTTAATAATGATAATAATAATGCATTGGTTTTATACACCGCTTTTCTGGACACTCAAAGACGCTTCACATGTCATTATTCATTCACTCCATACACGGTGGTGATAAAACTACAGTACTACTGTAGCTAGAGGTGCACCGATCAGGAAATTTTTGGTCGATCACCGATCACGATCATTAAAATTTTGATCGGCCGATACCGATCATTGCCGATCCGATCAAAAATTGATAATATTAGTGATAAATGAATAGGACTAGTTATTCACTTTAAAACTAATCTTTCAAAACCATCAAGGTAAAACCACAAGTATACGTTACAGAGCATTGAGATACATTTAAAAAATGCAATGAAATACAGCAATACTGTACATGCTGCATTTCTAAACTGATTAAGAAGAGATAGTTAAGGCAATGTTTTTTCTTCAGTAATATTAGCATTTCAGCATTTGCAGGGGTTAGTTTATTACGTTTATCATCCTGAATAGTCCCGTTGTGTACAGTAAACAGCCGCTCACTGTCTGCACTTGTGCATCATGGAGCAGAGGAAAGACGCTGCTTTGGCCAGAGCAGGGAAGCGGCTTTTCTTTTACTTTCAATAAACAAGCAACGATGCGCAACTACGTAGTTTCGCTAAGTAACGCTAAATCTGCGACACTGTAGAACTGTCTGTACTACCACTACACTCATCTTAATCCAACATGTCTGTGCACATAACGTGCAAACTCCTGACACGGGGTGTTTCTGCGTAACGGCAGCGCCTCGCTGCTGAGTGTGTTCGGTGTGTGTGCTGTGTCTGCGCGGTGTGACTCTGGCTCGTTATTCTAATAGATCCATGCTCTGGCTGGGCTTGGAGTGTCAATGTGAGAATATACAGTTTGGTAAAGCTGCGGCAGGCAGACATCAGTCAGATATCTCCGCAATGGCATATTGAAGAAGTGGACATGAGACAAGCGCTGGTGGCAGAGGGAAATAAATGCCATAACTTTCGTGCATATTTTGTGTTCTTTCTTGTGTAATTACTGTATGGTTGTTGCCGCTGGAGAATCTCCTTTACTGATAACTGCATGAGTTGCTTGTTTACGCAATTTTTATGAGAGAACGTAACTTGTGCGCATGAATCCTCATGTCATCTGATCGGTCTTTTTGATTGGCACATTTCACCGATCACGCAAGCCGTGATCGGCCGATTATAATCGGCTACCGATCGATCGGTGCACCTCTAACTGTAGCCACAGCTGCCCTGGGGCACACTGACAGAAGCGAGGCAACCAGTATGTGCCATCAGCCCCTCCGACCACCACCAACCATTCACACACACACCAGACTCATTCTAGGCAATGGGGGTAAAGTGTCTTGCCTAAGGATACAGCACAGTAGAACGGGAAGGACGTTTTAGCTTAGCTTGCTATCACTAGCTAAATGTAGCTAGCTCACTGTGTACAACAGACAATCAAACTTTTACACAGTAAATACATTTCAGTGAGAGCTTTGGCCCAACTGGATACGTAGCTAACCAGTTATTTCCAGGATTTCCACAGACTAGTCACAAATCAAGAGCGATCTCCCTGAAAACCTCGTTCCGTGTGCCGTGTTCCGTCGAGCTGCCTTTGAATTCTTTCTTCGGCCTAAAGAGAGTAACGTGTGGATCTCGTCGACCGACCAGGGCCTTTTGGGGCTTTCTGTGTGATTCCATTTCCTTGGAGTGAGGAGGACGTATTATAGCCTATTATAGATCCATGGCAGAGAAGCCGGTTTTAAAGATGGCGGGGTTGAGCTGTTTTTACCAAAGGGTCGGACGTCGCTTCCAGTGACGACACTTGTTGACCAATCAGTGTAAAGCAGTCGGCTGATGTCACGTCATGATGTAGCTTTGGCGCGGATGACACCACAGCCGAGGTGGTACAAAAAAAGAACCCCTTTTTCCAGCCCCAACCCTAGTGGAAATGCAAAATAACCGCGCTGTTCCGTGCCGTACTGTACCGTTACTGTGGAAAGACGGCAAAAGTGAGAGACCAGAGAGAGACCAGAGAGAGAGAGACTAGAGAGAGACCAAAATCAGAAACAAGAGAGACCGGATAGAGACTAGAGAGACCAAAGAGTTCCGTGTTCCTCTACTTTTCTCCCATTTAGACTGGTCTCTCTATGTTCTCTCTCTGGTCTTACTCTGGTCTCTCTCTCTCTGGTCCCGTTTTCTGGTGTCTCTGGTCTCTCTCTCTGGTCCCTGTCTGGTCTCTCTCTCTCTCTCTCTTCTCTCTCTTGGGTCTCTCTCTAATCTTTTTCTCTCTGTTCTATCTCTGGGTTCTTTCTGTCTCTCTCTCTGGTCTCTATCTCCGGACTTTCTCTGATCTCTTTTTCTGGTCCCTCTCTGGATTCTCTCTGGTCTCTTACACTGGTCTCTCTCTGGTCTCTATCTCTTGTTTCTCTTTAGTGTGTCTCTCTGATCTTTCTCTGATCTCTCTCTCTCTGGTCTCACAGGGGAAATTTGGTGCAGGTTTTTTCTATTCAATTTACTTTTTTCAAAAGAGACCAGAGACAAGGGAAACCCAAAAGAGATAGACCAGAGGGACCAGAAAGAGAGACAAGAGAGCGATACCAGAAAGAGAGACAGAGACAGAGACCAGAAAAAGAGACCAGAGAGAGGGACAGAGAGAGACCAGAGACAAGAGCAACCCCAGAAAGGGAAACCAGAGGGACCAGAGACAAGAGAGATACCAGAAAGAGAGACACAGAAAGAGAGACCAGAGAGAGACCAGAAATGTAGACCAAAGAGAGACACCAGAGAGAGAGAGATACCAGACAGAGAGCCCTGAGAGACTAGAGAGAGATCTCACACACCTACAGCACTGCACACACCACTGATACATACTCATGTACTTTTTGTTAATTAGATACTTTTAAAACCTGTGTTCCTGGTTTGGTTCCTCTCCTTGTTTCTACTCCTGAACCAGAGCTGTAAGAAGAGAGAGAGAGACCAGCGAGAGACCAGAGAGAGACTGGAATGACCAGAGAGAGAGAGGCCAAAGAGAGACCAGAGATGGACCAGAGATGGACCAGAGAGAGACCAGGGAGAGACCAGAGAGAGACCAGGGAGAGACCTGAGAGAGACCTGAGAGCGAATGATGTAAAGCAGGCATGTCCAAACTCAGGCCTGCGGGCCAATTGCAGCCCTCTGTGCCATTTTATGTGGCCTTTTTGCTGCTAACACAAAATGGCCACCAATACAGTCACGATACACCTTGGTCCCTCTGAAATCCACTCGATGACTTTATTGTCACAAAATTCTAAATAAAATGCAGCTGTGGTGTGAATCAATAAGGATGTATCATAACCCATTGTAAAGTCAAGAATCCATCCATCCATTTTCTTCCCCTTAATCCATTTCTGGGTCGGGGGGGATGGCAGTCAGCGCTGCACCCTGTACACAGAGCACCAGCCCCTCACTAGATCCTCCTGCAGGTGGTGAGTCCACAGGAGCTGAGATCTTTCAGTGGGGGCTTCAGGCAAAGTGGGGTTAAGTGTCTTGCCCAAGGACACAACGACAGCAGTCATCAGCGGGAGTCGTGAAGTAGGTCTTACGGTGGGCTCGAACCCACGACCTTCAGGCCCAAAGGCCAATGCTCTACCAACTGAGCTACTGTCGCCCCTCAAGAATCCAGTTGTTTAAATCCAGGTTGTCGGCCCCGGGTCGAGTCTGATGAACCCAGTGGGGCGGCTGCAGCTGTAAAGTGTCAAACTGCCGTGGTGTCCTTAGGCAAGACACTTTACCCCCATTGCCTAGAATGAGTCTGGTGTGTGTGTGAATGGTTGGTGGTGGTCGGAGGGGCCGATGGCACATACTGGTTGCCTCGCTTCTGTCAGTGTGCCCCAGGGCGGCTGTGGCTACAGTAGTAGTTTATCACCACCGTGTATGGAGTGAATGAATAATGACATGTGAAGTGTCTTTGAGTAAAACCGATGCATTATTATTATTATCATTATTAAAGTGGCCGTCTTGCAAAAAGGTTTGGACACCCCTGGTGTAAAGTACTTTTATTTTCTAAGCCCCTGGTGTCTTTCTACCTGAGTTGATCCAGAACCAAACCATAAAACCAGCCCGGAACAATCTTTCAAAGTGTTTTCTGAGGAACTCAGTCAGACGTCAACTCAGTCAGACGTCAGAAATGTGACAACCTCCCGAACCGGTCGCTCTGCAGCCGGGAATAAATATGAGACGCATCAGCAGAGAGACGAGATTCAAGACTCAGAGACCAGACTGAGACTGAGAGACTAGAGAGAGACTCGAGAGAGACCAGGGAGAACAGAAGGAGACCAGAGAGAGACCAGAGAGAGACCAGAGAGAGACCAGAGAGAGACCAGAGAGGAGACCAGAGGGAGAAACCAGAGTCGAGACTGAAGACTCAGAGAAATGCCTAGAGCTGTGAGGATCCCCAAGGGCCCAAAACCTACAAAAACGACAAATCCGACAAGACCGACAAATCCAACAAAACTGACACGTCCTACAAAACCGATCATCAAAAAAAGGCCCAAGAAGGGACCCACCAAACCGGCCAACGCAGAGACCCAGCGTCTGCTTCACCAGGTCAGTGCTGTTGTTCATTTACTACATTGTTAACTCAGACTCATCTGTATCCTCCAGTCTCTCTCACTAAAACCTCTCTCGCTGTGCGTGTTTGTGTGTATGTGTGTATGTGTGTGTGTGTGTGTTTGTGTGTGTTTGTGTTTGTTTGTGTGTGTCTGTGTGTTGCAGGTGAAGAAGCAGGTTGAGGATCTCGTCGGTCAGATGTTTGCTGAGTTCACTGCAACAGAATATGAGGAGAACGAAGATGGAGACAAATACATCTACGTGAGTCTGTTTCTACTCTATTCTTAGAGTAGAAGAATCTATTCTTAGAATAGAGTAGAGCAAAGTAGAGCACAGTAGAGTAGAGTACAGTACAGTAGAGTACTTTAGAGCACAGTACAGTACAGTAGAGCACAGTGCAGTACAGAAGAGTACAGAAGAGCACAGTAGAGTAGAGTACAGTACAGTAGAGTACAGTAGAGCACAGTACAATACAGTAGAGCACAGTAGAGTACTTTAGAGCACAGTACAGTACAGAAGAGTACAGAAGAGCACAGTAGTGCGCAGTAGAGCACAGTAGAGTACAGTAGAGCAGAGTACAGTAGAGTACAGTAGAGCACAGTAGAGCACAGTACAGTACAGTAGAGTACAGTAGAGCACAGTAGAGTACAGTAGAGCACAGTACAGTACAGTAGAGCACAGTACAGTAGAGTACAGTAGAGCACAGTAGAGCAGAGTAGAGCTGGTGATGACGGTCTCTGTGTGCAGGTCCGAGCGGGTGGAGAGGTTCTGCGTATCGTCGTCTCCAGAGACGGAAGCGTCCAGTTCTTTGGGGACGAGTGAAGCGTCCGTCAAACTGAGATGTTGTTTTGGAATCAATAAAGTTTGATACAATGTTTCTCTGTCTGTTGTGATCTGTCCTGCTTCAAAGAGTGATGTCAAAAAACATGTTTAAGTTTAAGTTTATTAAGGAACACCCCTAGAGATGAATCAACTCAAGGAACATGTGGCTCTGAACCTCATCTCAGACGGACAGAAGTGAGACTGTAGATCCAGGACTGAGACTGTAGATCCAGGACTGAGACTGTAGATCCAGGACTGAGACTGTAGCTCCAGGACTGAGAGGGGCAGGGGATTTTAACATTTCCATTTTTTATGAATTCACAAAACTTTCCCTGGCTGATTGCGAATGATGAATACAAGAGAGTGTTTTGAATGTGAAAACAAATTAGAACATAAATCGGGTATAGCTTTTAAGGCTTTGCAGGAAATACAGCCAGAGACAAAATAATGCTTTGGATATGACGTGGGTTAGAGTAGGGGAAGAGTAGAGCGAGGCAGGGGGTGAGGAAGGGGGTGAGTGAAGGAGCAGAGAGGGGTTGTTGCCATCGTTTCTGGCTTGAACCATATGCTGCTTTTTATTTGGCCTGCGATCCAGGCCAGGATTATCTGGATTATCCCAAAGTCTTGTCTCCCTCTTCAGATTCTCATGCAAATTCTCAACTTTGCCTCTCACTGCAGAAAAGAGACCCAGAGAGAGACCAGAGAGAGTCCAGAGAGAGTCCAGAGAAAGACCAGAGAGGGACCTGAGAAAGACCAGAGAGAGACCAGAGAGAGACGGACCAGAGAGAGACCAGAGAGAGTCCAGAGAGAGACCAGAGAGGGACCTGAGAAAGACCAGAGAGAGACCAGAGAGAGACCAGAGAGGGACCAGAGAGAGACCAGAGAGAGTCCAGAGAGAGTCCAGAGAAAGACCAGAGAGGGACCTATGAAAGACCAGAGAGAGACCAGAGAGAGACCAGAGAGGGACCAGAGAGAGACCAGAGAGAGTCCAGAGAGAGACCAGAGAGGGACCTGAGAAAGACCAGAGAGGGACCTGAGAAAGACCAGAGAGAGACCAGAGAGAGACCAGAGAGGGACCAGAGAGAGACCAGAGAGGGACCAGAGAGAGACCAGAGAGAGACCAGAGAGAGAGACCGGAGAGGGACCAGAGAGAGACCAGAGAGAGACCAGAAAGAAACCAGAAAGAGACCAGAGAGAGACCAGAGAGGGACCAGAGAGAGACCAGAGAGAGACCAGAAAGAGACCATCTCTGTTTGATGTTTAATGCTAAGTTGTTCATCAGCAGTGATCCCAGACCCGACCTTCTCCTGAGAACATTCATCACTGCGGAGGATTTATTTACCTGCGCACTCTGTGTTTTTGAGTCAGTAGGTTGGTTTCTCTCTGGACAGTGATGATGTCGTCTCTGTGAGTGTTGTGTTGTTTACATCTGCGTCTCTCACTACACAGAGACCATCCTCTGTGTGGGATTCTGACTGGACCAGGAGGAGTCCGAATGTCACATCACCACAGTGTTACATCACCATAATGTGACATCATCTTAGTGTTAGCTTTAATGCGGAAGAAGGTGATTTGAACACAAACTGGAGCCACAATCTGATCCATCCAACCATTTTCTTCCCATCAGGGGTTAGCAGTCAAATCAGAGCACCAGCCCCTCACTGATCCTCCTGCAGCTGCTCAGTCCACAGGAGGATGGCTGCTCTCTCAGCGGGGGTCCAGGCAAAGTGGGATAAAGTGTCTTGCCCAAGGACACAACGACAGCAGTCATCAGTGGGAGTCTGTAGTGAAGGTCTTGTGGTGAAATCAAGCCCTTCATGCTCAAAAGACTGTGCTCTACCAACTGCCGCTGTCGCCCCAAACCCGGATTTATAAAAAATATATCACAATATGAAGGACCAGAAAGAGACTTATTTTCTCACTGCAGAAAAGAGACCAGAGAGACAAGAGAGAGACCATAGAGACCAGAGAGACCAGAGATAGAGACACCTGATTGGGCCTATTTGTGTTCCTCGCGGAAAACAAAACTTGAAATGATCAGACACTGTTCAGATTTAAAAAGAAGGTTTGATGTATACAAACATAATAAATGGTAAAATACAGGCTAAGCTTCATACCCTGGGTCTCCTGCTACATGGCAAAGACACGTATGACCTCTGCCTCAGGCCTAAATGTCCTTCTCTTTCGGGCATCGGGGTGTGTCTGGCCCTTTCTATTGTCATTACATACACTGAACCATTCTAATGCTTATAAGAACAGAAAATTGAAAAACTACAGAGAGAGAGACTAGAGAGAGAGACCAGGGATAGAGAGAGAGACCACAGATTTAAGCCCAAAATGGTGAGTTTAGATGTCAATATGAGCCAGAGAGAGGAGCCAAACTTCACCATGAGCACTTCTCTAGTGGACAATGAAATGTCTGTGTCGGATGAGCCACTTCAGTCCTGGATCTACGGCCTCAGTCCTGGGTCTACTGACCCTCAGTCCTGAATCTACAGCCTCAGTCCTGGATCTACAGCTTCAGTCCTGGATCTACAGCCTCAGTCCTGGATGTACAGCTTCAGTCCTGGATCTACAGCCTCAGTCCTGGGTCTACAGCCTCAGTCCTGGATCTACAGCCTCAGTCCTGGATCTACAGCCTCAGTCCTGGATCTACAGCCTCAGTCCTGGATACAGCCTCAGTCCTGGATCTACAGCCTCAGTCCTGGATCTACAGCCTCAGTCCTGGGTCTACAGCCTCAGTCCTGGGTCTACAGCCTCAGTCCTGGATCTACAGCCTCAGTCCTGGATCTACAGCCTCAGTCCTGGATACAGCCTCAGTTCTGGATCTACAGCCTCAGTCCTGGGTCTACAGCCTCAGTCCTGGATCTACAGCCTCAGTTCTGGGTCTGACCTCAGCTTGACTCCTTTTCTTGCTTTAATCTTGTGAAAACTAACCTCAGCTCCATCTGTGATGTCGCATGATCCTTAATCCACTGAGACACGAACACAGGCTTTGGTTCAACCCCACATTAATACCATAGACCAGGGGTGCTCAATACGTCGATCGCGATCTACCAGTCGATTGCAAAGGTAGTATTGGTAGATCGCATTAAATAAATAAAAAATTACACATTCTAAACGAATATATACAAAAAACTCCGGGCAAAGTGGAGATTTTTGAAAACTCCGTTAATGCATTTGTGTGTAGACAGAGATAACCAGAGTTTTGCGTTCTCGCACGCCAAAGTACCCCCCTAAATTCCTCTGATCACTGAAGCATGGATCATACTACCTTAAAAACTGTTCGCTGTGAGATGCTCGCAGCAGCGAACATCCTCGCTCCACATCAGAGAGCAGCAAAGTGATCGCGGGGACTCACGCTTGAAAACAACCAAACCAGGACTAAACAAGGACTAAACCAGGACTAAACCAGGGCTGAGGACGGGGTCAGTGCTTGTAAACATACGTATTTACTCTGAGTGTCTTCTATGACTGTAAAAGTGCCGTTATTAATAGTTACCTAATGTAACTTAAGTTCTACGAATAGGTGCGTAGTCCCTTAGGACTTCGCTTGTGGGATATCACTCGTGACCCCCAGGTCACACGCCAGAGAGATCAAAATAATTTGCTCCAATCACCAGCCACCCTCCTCTATAAAGGGGGTGCGGCCCCTGCACAAGGCCGCACCCCCTCTTGAACTCTGCCAAGCCGGGCTGGCCTGATGGGCTCGTAGCTAAGGGACTACGCACCTATTCGTAGAACTTAAGTTTCATTAGGTAACTATTAATTCTACGTCATGGTGCTACGTTCCTTAGGACTTCGCTAGTGGGACACAACGCGGAGGCCGTAGGAACATGTACTCCCAGCAGGCCAGCGAAGGGTGATTGGAGCTCCGCCCGAGCAAGACCCTCACACAGTGAGAGGACTCAGGGCAGAAGAAACAATGCGTGTTACAGGGCCACTCCTACCAAGGATACCCCCACACGTAACACAGACCGTAGGTCACCCGTAGTCACAGGACGCCTCTCCCAAGAGCTCCTGACGTGGACTACCTGACCGACCAAACACACATATATGTACCGCACCTGTAGGATGCCTCTCCCAAGAGCTCCTGAACCAGGGCGGAAAGTAAACCGAAGGCCCCCTCAGAGGAGGGACCTAACGGTCTAACTCAGTCCGCTGCAGTCAGCACGGATGCCTCAGCATTCTGACAGGACACAGAAGGTGCCGCCGCTCCTCCTCGGGGGAGGCATGCGGTGGCGGATAGAAAGCCCTAATCCTGATGACTCTCGACCTAAAGGCCGACGTGATGACCTTGGGGAGAAAAGCCGGATTGGGCCACAATCCTTTAGGGGCGTTTTAAGGGGCGTTCACACCGGACTTAACTTCGGCGTCAAAAGCGTCAGGTTTCCATTGAAAGTGAATGGTGAAGCGCGTCAGGTGAAGCCGAGAGCCCCGGCGTCACTTGACGCGCGTCAAAAGCTTCAAGAGTCGCGCGTACTACGCGCTCACTTGAAGCTTTTGACGCGCGAAACGCTCGCGTATCACAACAATCCCTTTGACGCCGAAGTTGAGCAAAGCTGAGCTTTTGAAGCTTTGACGCGGGCTTCAACCAATCAGGAGACGAGGAGCAGCAGCAGCAGAGGGTCTGTCTCTGTCATGAAGAGAAGTCATGTATCTGCTGCTGTTGTTTTATTGTCATTATTGTTATTAGTAATATTATTTGTATGAGTAGTATTATGAGTAGTAACATTCTGAGTAACAAAATCATTGTACACATGCTGTGTAGTAAACGTAGTTTATTTAAAATAAGAACAGGCTGACGATGAGTCAGACTGTTCTTATTTATTCCTGGCAAGGCAGCTCCGGGCGGGCGAGAGCCGGGGAGAGGCAGGGAGAGGCAGGGAGAGGCAGGGAGAGGCGAGCGAGAGCCGGGGAGAGGCGAGCTCCGGAGTTTGAGAACTCAAACCGGGCGAGTGACATGCGGAAGTACCGCTGAAAGCGAAACTCCTCCGTAC